GCTAACTTTTTTAGCTTTTTATGTAATGTCATTTGTTTTGTTCAAAATGTTTCACAGTATTATTTGTATTGATTTCATCATATATTTTTTTTAGAATTAAAAAAAGACATGGCAGTGTGTAAGTTCATTATCAGAAATATCAGATAGTAGATTTCAGGGGTCAAATCAACCTGTGTTCTGATTGTAGTCCTATTGCAAGTTCTGTTATATTAACTTTATTGCATTCCTGTAAGTATTGATCAGATACTTCATGATATTTTTCTCCCTCTGTCTGTTTGTCTCACTCAAGCTGAGGACACAGTTGTTGTCATCCCCTATAAGAGTCGTCATGTCCGTCTAGTCCTAAAAGGCCCGGATCACTTGTGTAAGTCCTGGTAGGTCCAGGGTGCCCTTCCATCCAAAACAGTTGAACATGATATTTATATTTGGCAGTGTGTTTTTTATTGCCAAATACCTGCACATTAAAAAGTATTCTGCATGTGCTCTGAGTTTTACTGCAGGTCATGTTATGTTTTAATGACTTTCGTTCCAAAAAGAATATTACGTTTTCATTATATATGTTATACTTTCTTGACCTTTCTAATTATAATCTCAACCAAATGATTAACCTTTTATTTCCTGTTCCAAAATGTATTACATTTTGGGATTTCTCATATGGACTGGTTTTAAGAGTAGCTTGGAGCAGAATAACCAGACAAGGTATTTCTTTTTCCCTGTTGCTCTGGCTCTGAAAAGTTGTAAAGCTTCCAGCAAATATCACTGATGTCAAAGTACTGGCATCAAACTCCCCACTGGATCAAATCGATAACAAATGTTCCATCTCTGTACCTTTCCTTTGCTTCACGGTTAGTTTACAGATTGTTTCTTGAGCCAGGCAAAAATAACTTCTTTTTCTGAATGGACAGATTTTTTCATTAAATATTTCCCCCGTTCTTTTTGGCCAAGGGCATTTAAATTGTAACCATCTGTCTGCAGATGATGACTGCTGCTGGTTACTGCTTGTTCCTGTGTTTCTCCATTGTTTTTGTTTAAATGTCCGTGCTGGAATCACACAAAACCCTGTTAGGCCAGGGTTGAAGTAAGGTTACTGCCGCGCTGGCCTGCTAGCAGAACTACATGAGCCTCAATGTGCGTGAGTCTTCAAACGCAACAGCCAGTCTGCATTCTTTATCTAACTGGATCTGACTGAAGGTCTGTGTCAAAGGTGTGATAGCTGTGATAAATTAGTCGTCCTTTGAGTATTTCAACATTTTAATCGCGTCTCCTTTTATTTGCTGTTTCATTTTGTTTTTTGGAGGGTGTATTGACACATTAATCTGCCGCATTGTTTGATTTGTCCTTTGTGCTCTAGCTATCTACTTTGTTTCTTCTTTAGATGTGGAGAGTAAGACTCTACAGGGGTTAAAAGGTGAGCTGGTCTTGGATAAGTCAGGCCAGTACCACCTGGAGAACACCAGCTTGGACTTCCAGAAACTTTCAGATAAGGAGGTCCTGAGAATCACTGGCCCACTCGGAGCTGACTTCACTATCAAAGTAAGAGCTTAAATATATCAATTCAAGTGACTTAAACCTGCACTAATCAATATATTTTAAGAAAAGTGCCTTAGTTTACTCTTTAAATGTAAACCAAGTTTTTCAGTGTGACAAACTCACAGAGAATGATCACCATCCTTAGTTTCCCGCAGACTAGTTGATTAATATAGTGGAGCACTTTGCTGCTAAAGAGCTAGATATTTCCCTCAAGAGTTGGTGGAGACCAAAAACAGAGCAAAAAAAGGAGAAAGAATATGACATTTGTCAGGTAGCCAGAAATATGGCAAATGAATGCTAACTGTGCTCCATAACTGCTGTATGTGTAAATAAGC